GACACACAGGTGACACACAGGTGACACAGGTGACACAGGTGACAATACCTTGTTGGTCAGGTACCTCTTGCTGCCCACGGCCGGGGATTTGGGCTCACACACAGGTAACACAGGTGACACAGGTGACACACAGGTGACACAGGTGACACACAGGTAACACAGGTGACACAGATGACACAGGTGACACACAGGAGGTGACACAGGTGACACACAGGTGACAATACCTTGTTGGTCAGGTACCTCTTGCTGCCCACGGCCGGCAGCCTCAGCACTCGCTCCAGGGCGGCCCCGACCGCGAGCCCCGGGGGGAGGCTCAGGGGGCGCCGGGGGAGGGGCGACAGCGACACCTGGAACTCCTGGGGTGGGGGAGGGGGGGACCCCAAAATTTGGGGGGAAAAACTCAAATTCGGGGTCCCCCCCCCCCAAAAAAAAATCTGCGCTCCCCTCCCCCTTTCTGGGGTCGTTTTTGGGGGGCTCCCTTCCCTTTCCAGGGTTTTGGGGTCTGCTTTGGGGTCCCTTTTTGGGGTCCTTTTTGGGGTCCCCCCCTCTCATTTTTGGGATCTCCCTCTCCTCAAATTTGGGGTCCCTTTTTGGGGTCCCTTTTTGGGGTGTCCCCCTCAAATTTGGGATCCATTTTAGGGTCCTTTTTGGGGTGTCCCCCTCAAATTTGGGGTCCCTTTTTGGGGTCCTTTTTGGGGTCCCCCCCTCTCATTTTTGGGATCTCCCTCTCCTCAAATTTGGGGTCCTTTTTTTGGGGTTTTGGGGTCCCTTTTTGGATCCCTTTTTGGGGTCCCCCCTCTCATTTTTGGGATCCCCCCCCCCCTCAAATTTGGGGTCCCTTTTTGGGGTTCCTTTTTGGGGTGTCCCACTCAAATTTGGGGTCCCTCCCTCAAATTCGGGGTCCTTTTTTTGGGGTTTTGGGGTCCCTTTTTGGGGTTCCTTTTTGGGGTGTCCCACTCAAATTTGGGGTCCCTCCCTCAAATTCGGGGTCCTTTTTTTGGGGTTTTGGGGTCCCTTTTTGGGGTTCCTTTTTGGGGTGTCCCACTCAAATTTGGGGTCCCTCCCTCAAATTCGGGGTCCTTTTTTTGGGGTTTTGGGGTCCCTTTTTGGGGTTCCTTTTTGGGGTGTCCCCCTCAAATTTGGGGTCCTTTTTTTGGGGTCCTTTTTGGGGGCCTCCCTTCCCTTCCTGGGGTTTTCCCCCTCAATTTTGGGATCTGGTTTGGGGTCCCCTTTTCGGATCCCTTTTCTGGGGTCCCCCCCCTCAGATTTTGGGGTCCCTTTTTGGGGTCACTTTTAGGTTCCCGCCCCTTTTTTATGGATTTTTTGGGGCCTCCCCACCCCTTTCAGGGCCCTTTTTGGGGTTCCCCCCTCCCATTTTGGGGTCGTTTTTTGGGGTCACCCTCTCACCTCCAAGGGTCCCTTTTTAGGGCTCCCCCTCCCCTTTTTTGGGGTTCCCCCGATCACTTTTGGGGTCCCTTTTTTGGGGGGTCCCTTTTTGGGGTGTCCCCCTCAAAATTGGGGTCCCGTTTTGGGCTCCTTTTTTGGGGTCTCTTGCCCCAATTTTGGGGTTCATTTCTCGTGTCCCCCCCAAATTCGGGATCTCATTTTTGGGTACCCCCTCCCCCAAACCCTGGCCCCGTTTTTTGGGGGTCCCCTCTCACCTTCAGGGACCCTTTTTTTTTTTGGGGTGTCCCCCCCCAAATCCGAGGTGCTTTTTTCTTTTTTTTCGCAGTTTCCCCTCCCCCACCCCCGATTTTGGGGCTACTTTTGGGAATTTTGGGGTCCCCCCCTGACCTTTTGGGGCATCTTGCCCAGCACCCACTCCAGCTCCAGGTTGACGGGGGTGGGGAGCCCCTCGTGGGACCCCCCCTCGGGCACCGGCGCCGCCAGGTCATCGACCAGCACGATCTGGGGAGGGGGGACACCCCAAAATCACCCGAAATCGCCCCAGAAACCCGCAAAAATCATCCCCAAAACCACCTGAAATCGCCCCAAAAACAGCCCCAGAAATCACCAAAAACAGCCACAAAAATCCCCAAAAATCAACCCCAAAATCACCTGAAATCGCCCCAAAAACAGCCCCAGAAATCACCAAAAACAGCCACAAAAATCCCCAAAAATCAACCCCAAAATCACCTGAAATCGCCCCAAAAACAGCCCCAGAAATCACCAAAAACAGCCACAAAAATCCCCAAAAATCAACCCCAAAATCACCTGAAATCGCCCCAAAAACAGCCCCAGAAATCACCAAAAACAGCCACAAAAATCCCCAAAAATCAACCCCAAAATCACCTGAAATCGCCCCAAAAACAGCCCCAGAAATCACCAAAAACAGCCACAAAAATCCCCAAAAATCAACCCCAAAATCACCTGAAATCGCCCCAAAAACAGCCCCAGAAATCACCAAAAACAGCCACAAAAATCCCCAAAAATCAACCCCAAAATCACCTGAAATCGCCCCAAAAACAGCCCCAGAAATCACCAAAAACAGCCACAAAAATCCCCAAAAATCAACCCCAAAATCACCTGAAATCGCCCCAAAAACAGCCACAAAAATCGACCCAAAAACATCCAAAAATTCAACCCCAAAACCACGCCCAGAACCCCCAAAAATCAACCCCAAAATCACCCGAATTCACCCCAAAATCGGCCCCAGAAATCAAAAAAACCCGCAAAAATGACCCCCAAAAACCGGACCCAAAACACCTCAAAATCCACCCAAAAACCCCAAATCCACCCAAAAATGATCCCATGTCCCCAATGTCCCCAATGTCCCCCCAATGTCCTGAATCCCCCCAATGTCCCCACTGCCCCCAATGTCCCCACTGTCCCCCACGTCCCC